CCCCCCTTCCCTTGTGCTGGGGGTGGTGTGCAGGCTGGGGCTGGGAGATGTGTAGTCTCCCCACTGCTCCAGGGGGTGGGCCAGGAGCCATGCTCCCTCCCCGCTAATGGAGGCGAGGAGGTAGTCCAGGAGCTGTGAGGCCACTCCCACCATGGGCTTGGCCCAACCAACCCCTTGATGGCCAGGGGTGGGGGAAGAACCAGGCATAGCCAGGTCAAGGGGGGCAAAGAGGCTGAGGTGGGGGGAGGAAAAGGATGGGGCAGATTCAGCCTCGGGTGACAGGGAGGGAAGATCCAACGTGGCCTCGAAACCTCCCCAGCAGCCGGGGGAAGAACTGGGCCTGGTGCAGCTTCAGCTCATCCCCTCCTGGTGGCTGGTGGAGAGCCAAGCCCAGTGTGGCTTCAGATTGGCCCCTCCCAGCAGCCAGGAAGAAAGCCAGGCCAGCATGATCTCGCCCCGGCACTCCACCCTGGCGGAGGGGAGGGTAAGGAGGTGGGTTTGAAAGATCCCAAGAACTGGGGCTGGCTGTGGGAGGGAGAGAAAGGGTTGGAGAGAAGAGCATGGGGCCTGCGAGGCTCTGGAGAGGCCCCTCTCACCCTCCAGCAGCCAGAGGGAGAGAGCCAGGCCAGTCTTGGCCAAGCCCAACCCCCTGTGGCCATAAGGAGTGATCTGGGCCAGCCATGGCTTTGGCCCTGCCCAACCTCCTGGCAACGGGGGCAGAGGACCCAGAGTAGGCCAGGCCTGCCACGCCTCAGCCTGGCTCTCCGTGGTGGCTGGGGGAGAGCCGGGGTTGCCTACCCGCAGAAATGGGGGTTGGCGAGCGTAGAGAGCAGGGGTACTGCTTCCTGGTGGTACATAATAAAAGTTTAGAATATTCAGACATATTACAGAACCCAGGTTATTGACATTAAATATGTGTATGAAAATGTAGTAAAATACAGTAAAAACGATGTGTGCTTCTTCCCCCTTCCATTACTTAAGCTTGAAACAGCACATATCATTTAGCTAATTGCACATGTTTTAGAAGCTGTAGTAAAAAGGGGAACTAGCTGTTTAGACCCATTTCTCAAGGACTGGATTACACGTATTACTTGAGTTAGGGAAATTTGCTAATTGCTATTGCTTAAGTAAGCTATACTGGTGGTTGTTACTGAGTGGAATAAAGTTGAAGTATGCTAACCAATAACGCTGCAACACGAAGCTAAGGTAACAAATCAAGACATGCCAAGTTAGATAAGAAAGTTAAAGAAAGTATAAAAAAGGATGCTTAGCCTACGCCCGAGCTCGGCTTTGCTTTGAGCACTGAGCTTCTTAGCTGAACCTTGGTTGCAACCAATAAAATTGAGTTGGACCCAGCCTAAAAGTGTGACTCTCTTCTGTGGGCAAATTGACTTAGCCTCCAGGGGACGAACCTTCCAATTTATGCAACAAAAAGGTTGGAAGGACTATTTCAAATTCAAACAGTAGTGACCAAATTCTTCCCTTAAATTCATCATTGCAACTCCCATGATCTGAAGCAACATATGTACATCGAAAGACAAAATTTGGCATTAGCAATGGCTGTATAAACAGTTTTGTGTTAAAAAACATTATTTAAAAAACTGAAGAGGGAATGATACTTTATGATTTAAATAAATTAAACTTGAGTTACTGTATCAGAATTAATAATAGTTATGTACAGTTATTGTGCCAAGCACCATGCAGACAAATATGAAGGTTTCTGTTTCTAAATAGTGAATATGTAATATTTTCTAATATTTTGCATCCTTTTCTGTTTTCTAGAGCATCAGGGCTTCAGGCCTGATTCTTTTGGAAACAATCCTATTTGGATCACTCCTCCTGTATTTCCCGGTGAGTTATATCGTTATTTTTAAACTGCTTTTATTGCTGAAGTTTTAAAACAAATGCAGTTTGATGATAAATATGGCAATCAAAACTAGAAACTGTGTACACAAAGTGCTCTTAGCTTTCCAGTATTTGTGATAATTCTCCATCCCAAGTGCAGGGAATACTATAGATAGAATACTGCAAATATGTCAAAAAATGATTTTTTAACAAGAGGAATGGAAATTTTCTAAGGTTGCCCGTTATATGTTCCCAGTTGAACAAAATGGAAATTGGTCCTCTATTGTACTTAGAAATAACAAATATGTGAAATTTGTGTATAAAGAACAAAGACTAAATAAACCTAGTGGTTTCTAGAGTTATTACAAAGCAGGGGAGTTATTTTAATGTTTTATTTAATATCTCTGAAACTGTGTGACATATGGAATACCTTATGTTTGGGAAGATGTGTTATTATATTGTACCTTATGTTTGGGGAAGATGTTATATATTGCTTTGTGAGCAAAATATGGAACAATATAGTGGTGGTTGTTTCATCTGGAATCAGTTGAGTTTTCTGGAATTTTTGAAAAGGGAGAAATGAGGTATCTTAGTACAAGTTTGTGTTTATTCAGTCTGAGGCCTAAAGAGTGGATGGAAGAAAGAGGATGGAAGTGGATGAATGGGGAAGAGGATAGCAATCGAGGAGGGATGAAAGAGGAGATGGAATTATATGGTTATGTTCTAATTTATAGCTTTCCCCAGTGGTCAAATTCTTATATGGCTTTTACAGAGTTCCAGCTCATTAATGAGACCCTGGAAAGCAAAACACCCAGGCAAACATGAAAACAATTTGCAAACATGCAGTACTAAAGGAGGGATGATAAATACTATAATTAACACAGATCTTGCTGGCATTTGTTTTCTAAATTATTCAAAATTATGTTGCCTTTTTAGGTTACAAGTAAAGGATGTTTGTTAATTGCTAGGGTAGTTGTATTTGGAATTTCATCTTTAATTTTGCAGCTGTTAGGAAGAAGACATATTTCATTTTTCAAGGTTTTTGTGTTACTGACATCACCATTACTAGCAAATGAGGGACATGTTAAGGCTAGTCATTCAGTGCTTGGAACAGAAATATAAGCATACTTAACAGTTAATGGTTCACGTGTTTAGAGCATTGTACAAATGCTAACTGATTTTCACAATAACCCTTTGAGGTGTTGTTATTACTATTATACCCATTTCACTGGGGACTGGATCTGTCTTCATTTATGTGAGAGAAATACTCACGTGAGGACAAAATTGAATCTCAGGTGAGGAAGAGGGGAAATGATGAGGCTAAAATCCCACACCTAATCAATGTCAGAGCTAGTCCTTTCTGACTCTCAGCCTTGTGCTCATTACTTTAGAGGTAATTGCCCCCGAGTCTGAATATCAATGAAACCAATGCTTTGATCAGAGATATGACTATCTTTCCACTCTCTTACACACAACTTTATCATCTTCTCTTCAGTCCATCCATGTAGTCTCTCTCTCTCTCTGACAATCCAACTTCTTCCCAGCTCTGTACTCCCTGATTTAGTTTTAAAACAAAAATAACCTAAATCTCCATTCTTCATAGTTATAAAAAGAAGCTTCAAAATGTGAACTGGATGTAACTGCTGCAATTAGGAGTGTGTAAGTCTGTACAGAGCCTTCAGCAGAGCTGGGTAAGAAGCCATCTGTCCTACCCCTCAGACCAACCCACAACCCCTATTGCTTTTTAGGGGCAGGAAGAGAACCTGCTACTCTTTGGGGGCTGTCAGGCAGTTTTTGCCATTGTTATGGGAAGAAAGCCACTGCCAGCAGTTCAGAGGGCAGGACCTCACAGAGTTTCTGAGGAAAGGACGATGAGTCCCCAGCTACTGCATCTGCCACCTTTTCAAACCAGCCAGGTGGGATGGGAGTTGTTGTCTTGCTACCCAGCTGGAGCAAGAGTCCCTATGATGCTGGGTCCCACCTGTTGTGAAGGAAGTGTGGACAGTACTTTACACAGTGGCTGGGGAGGAAGGAGTCAGGGTATGTCTACACTACAAAGTTAATTCGAACTAACAGACGTTAGTTCGAATTAACTTTGATAGGCGCTACACAGGCAAACCGCTAGTTCGAACTTAATTCGAACTAGCCGAGCGCTTAATTCGAACTAAGTAAACCTCATTCTACGAGGACTAACGCCTAGTTCGAATTAAGTAGTTTGAATTAAGGGCTGTGTAGCGACTTAATTCGAACTAGTGGGAGGCTAGCCCTCCCCCGCTTGCCCTGGTGGCCACTCTGGGCACCACCAGGGAAACTCGTCTGCCCCCCTCCCGGCCCCGGAGCCCTTAAAGGGGCACAGGCTGGCTATGGTGCCCATGCCAGGTGCAAGCCTGCTAGCACCCAGCCAGCAGACCCTGCACCTGGCACGGCACGAACCAGCCACCCGCTGATTT